CCCCCCCCCGCAGTCACAGCCAACCCCCACTCCTTGGCAACCACTGCTTTCTGTTGCAATAGTCTTGCCCTTTCCAGAATGTCATCTAAATGGAATCATACAGTATGTAGCCTTTTCAGACTGCCTTCTTTCCCTAGGATAAAGCGTCTGGCAGTCATCCATGCTTTTGTGTGTATCAGGAGTTTGTTTCTTTTTAGAAAGGCAGACTATTCCACTGGAGAATATTCCACGGTTTGTTTATACATGTGTCAGTTGAAAGACATTTAGCTTGCTCTGATGATTACGAATAAAGGGCTTCTGTGCGCACATAGTGGTCATTTCTGATGAGCAAACGCCTGGGGATTTGCTGTGTTGTATGGTAGGTTTATGGTTAACCTTATAAGAAACAAGAAACCGCCAAACTGTTCAGTTTTCCAAGACGGTTGTACCATTTTGCATTCCCATAAGCAATATACGAGTATTCTGGTTGCACTGTATTCTTGTCAGCACTTAGTACTGTCAGTACTATTTTTCATTCTAATAGGAGCGTGATGGTATCATATTGTGGTTTTAATTTGTATTTTCCCAATGACTAATGATAGTGTTTTTCAGTGGGCTTTTTACTATCCACATCTTTGTCGATATGTAATTTGCAAATATTCTTACCAAGTTTGTGGTTTTTTATTCCTTGACTGGTGTCTTTTGCAGAGCAAAAGTTTTTAATTTTCAAGAAATTTAATTTATCACTTTTCTCTCATGATTATGCTTTTGATATTTTATGTGACAACTTTCCCTAAACCAAGGACATATTTTCTCCTATGTTTTCTTCTAGCATTTTTATAGTTTTAGATTACACATTTAGGTCTCTGACCAGTTTTTAGTTAACTTTTGTGTATGGTGTGGGGCATACATGAAGATTATTTTGCATATGGGTGGATATTCAATTATTCCAGCACCATACGGTGATAATTGTATCCTTTCTCTACTGAATTACTTTTGTACTTTTGTCAAAAATTAACCACATGGGGTTGTATTTCTGGATTGTCTATTCTGGTCTGTTGACCTATGTGTCTGTACTTACTATACTGTATTGATTACTCTAACCCTACCGTCAGGTTTGAAATCACCCAGTGGGAGTTCAAAATTATTTTGGCAATTCAAATAATTTAAAAAAAATCTTTATTACGATAAAGTATACTTAATAACATTCACCATTTTAGCCATCTTTAATTGCACAGTACAGTGTTATTAAGTACCTTCATATCGTTGCACAATCACCACCATCCTTCTCCATAATTTTTTCATCTTTTCCAACTGAAACTCTGTACCCATTAAACCCAGCTCCCTATTCCCCACTCCCCCAGTCCCTGGTAACTCCTATTCTACTTCTTGATTCTATAAATCTGATTATTCTATGTGCCTAAAGTAAGTGGAATCATATACATTTTTTGTCTTTCTTTCTAACTTTATCCTAGCATTTTGCCTTTAAATACAAGTTTTAAAATCAGCTTATCTATTCTACAAAAATTTCTGCTGGGTTTTTGACTAGAAATGTATTAATATAAGTATGAATTTGGGAAGAACTAACATCTTAAAAATATTGAGTCTTCCAATGTTCGAACACTATTTCCCCATTGAAACATAAAAATTTCTTTCATCATTGTTTTGTAGTTCTCAGCATATAAATCTTATTCATATTTTGCTTGATTTTTACATAAATACTTCATATGTCTTGGTGCCATTATAAATGATATCATTTTTATCTCACACCAGCTTCTATTTAGTCAATACTGTTCTGGCTTATCCTTTTTCCTTCTTTTATTTTCAAACTCTCTCATTTTTTCTTTTATGTCTCTTGTAAGGACATTATAGATGATCTTTTAAAAAACACAACTTGAAAATCTTTATTAATAGTAGAGTTTAATGTTCATAGTCATTTAAATTAATGAAATATTCTGATGGATTTATACTATCTTATTTTTCTCTAAGAAAAGTCACTCTGGTTATTGAGTACTATCTCCCATGACCTGACAATCATCGGGCCCCTTGAGCTCTGACACCCATAGCAAAGCCCTGTAAGAACACTATGGTTTTAAGAACACAAAAGGTGTACGATTCCATTAAGGCCAAGTGTTCTTGTTAAATAAAATGCCCCAGCTGGGTGAAGAGGGCTTCTACGAAGAGGCGTGACCGAGCATTGGGTGTCAGGTCCCAGAAGGGTGAATAGAACCCCTCAGTGGCGAAGCTCCCCCGGGGAAGGGTGTCCAGCTCAAGTGCAATGGGGAGAGGGTGGTGGCAGAGGTACGAGGGTGGAAACATGCAAGGGATTGAGTTTATAAGTAGATGAAAGAGCAAGGGAGCTAAGTTCCTCGTTGTCACGGAAGGGAGGTACAAATACAAAAAGAGAGAAAATCAGGTTAATCCCCATATTGTTGCACTGAAGTTAAACATTTGTATGAACCCATGGTGTTCCACATGTAGATGGATAGGTAGAGAAATAAATGTTCATATAAAGGTGTGTGTGTGTGTGTGTGTGTGTGTGTGTATGTGCATCTGCATGCGTGCACGCGGGTGTTAGTTACATGTCCTCTGAGTGGGTCTGGGCTAGCAGCACACTGACAGCAATGAGTGTGTCTGACACTTGAATCTCAGGTTCTAAATACCATTCCACACTAAGAGGGATTAGAGCTCCTTGGAGAGACAGCTAATTTCAGGGCCAGAGTAAGCAA